TTTTTTTTCCCTTTTCTGCATTTTCTGGGTACATTTTAGTTGCTTTGTTCTGTGTATATTGTGTTTCATTGTCGGACTCACGGGCAGCGTAATTCCGTTGGCATTGCTCGTCGTTTTATGTACTTTTTTGTGATTATTAGCACATACAAGATCCTTGGTTGATTGCCAATAGGGAAGATCAACGCTTCTCATTTGTGACAGACTAATCTCTGAAAATATATGTTCTGCTGATTGTGTTAGCATCTTTATGCCTAGAATTCTTAAACAGTATCCGAGTGGCAGAACAAAACCTGCGCACTAGAATGGCAGTTTGAGGCATATGTTGTATACCAAGAGTGTTGATTATGGGAGATTGAAATGCATTTGGATGAGTTATTGAGGATATGTATATGGACTTATTTCTATGAATTTGTGCGCTCTCATCTTAGTACTTTTCAGTGAACAATTTCTTAAGGCGTTGTCTAAACATGTCATATCAGTTGTTCATATTATACTATGATCAGAAAATACATATAGTAGGGGACGGTAGTAAAAATAGTATTACTGGTGATTGCTAGCTTTTGTAATTTGGATGACTGTTATATGATTGTGCGGTTCTCTGTAAATGATGTTTGCATACACTATCACAAACATGCACCACACATACACACACCGAGAGAGAGAGAGAGAGAGAGAGAGAGAGAGAGAGAGAGAGAGAGAGAGAGAGAGAGATGTGATATACTTTAATTGTTAAAATTGGGATTTAAAAGATGTGAGAAGAGCTCGTGCAAACTAAAACTTCGTTTTGGTTGTGTTCTGTAGTTTATAGTCTTTCAAATACACCTACTGAAAAAAATTCCGTTTGATATAAGCCTCTTGCATTCAATTTTTAAAGATACAAATAACAGAACGGGCGCATAATAACCTTAAGATTGTTTTGTGTTTTCACGCTTACCTCTTTTCTAAAACTAAAGGAAGGCCATTTTTTTTTTTCTTTATTTGGAATTTACAACAGAACTATTCCTTTTGCTTGGAATCTCTTAACAGCTGGATACATTGAACAGTCAATATATGGGGTATGTTGTCTTTTACCTGCTTCTCCATCATCATAGTCTGTTCTTTTATGTTAGCATGTTTTCTTACCATCATTCAAATTTTGCAGCTTGTAGTCAGCACAGTTGGTCTTCTTCTCATAGGGAAGCTGCTTGAGCCTATATGGGGTTCTCGGGAGTTCTTGAAGTTCATTTTTATCATCAACTTTCTGACTTTCGTCTGTGTTTTCGTTACGGCAATTTCCTTGTACTACATTACAACACAGGAAATATACCTGTAAGTGTTGCAAGAGCTATATTCTACCAAGAAGTATGTTTGAAAATTCACTCTTAAGAACTTTATATTCCAAATTCCACAAAATCATGGAAATATCATGTGAATGAAACCTAAATAAAGAGGAGAATTTTGTATCTGAGAATTTTTCTCCCTGTAAACTAAAATTCAAGAGGTGAATCTTTTGTCAGCTGATCATCATCTTTAATTTTTCGGGTTGTCTAACAAATTATCTCATTTTATTTGCAGCTGCCCTCTCCACCAAACGTTTACTTGATAAGCTCTAATATCTTCGTGCTTTCTTTTCATTCTTTTGTAGCTATGCACCTATATCTGGTTTCCAAGGGGTTATTTCAGGCTTCTTAGTTGGTATCAAGCAGATAATACCAGATCAAGAGCTTTCCTTACTGAAGATAAAGGCAAAAGTATGTGTTTCTATTTTTTGAAGTGTGTGTCGGTTTATTATTGCGCCTCACAGAAAATAACATCTTCAGTCTTAAAATGCAGAACAATTTTCTCTAGCATCTTCATAATTGCTACTTATGCATTATTATTGTTGTTATTATCATTATTATTTTTTATCTTAGTGCACTCTAATTGATTGAATTGGAATTCATAGGAAAAAGGGTGTGGAAGCTTAAATAACTCGCTTTTTTTACCCTTTTTTTTTACAGTGGCTGCCCTCTATTGTGCTATTGGTGTCGATTGTTGCAAGCTTTTTCACGACAGATTCAGCCTCATATCTTCCCAGTTTGATATTCGGCACTTATATAGGTTGGATTTACCTCAGATACTGGCAAAAAAAGGCAGAAACAAATCTGAGAGGCGACCCAAGTGATGAATTTGCTTTGTCTACCTTCTTTCCTGAACTTTTAAGGTAGTTATATTCGTGAATTAATGATGTTGGTCATTTTCTTTTTTCCCAACCTCTCCATTTTAATGGTGGCTGGTTTTACGTACAGACCGGTAATTGATCCTGTTGCCACTATTTTTGAGCGGTTGTTTTGTGGAAGAAGAACTGAATCTACGGACGAGTCAAGAGGCCACACTTTGGGAGGGACTTCATTGCCCGGTTCGGATCCTATTGAAGCAACGAGAAGGAGGTAAGTAATGTAGGATCCAATATTGCATTTGCGTGCTTAGATACAAATATATTCGCTGAAAATGAGTTTTTTTTTTGTTAACCAAGATTAATTTTGAAAAATATTGTATGGTTAGTTGTTAGGGAGTTTTTGTGCGTATATTAAAATAAAATAATTAAACTTGATTTGATGTAAAAGTAGAAAAAGATGAGGTGAAATGATGATTAGTTAAAATTGTGAGTGGATGAATAGTGAATTAAAGTTGACGTGATGTGTAAGAATGATTGTTGATATTATTTAATTATATTAATAATATTGAGGATAAACAAAAACAAAAACTATACGGCTCGTGATTTTTTTTATCTTAGGAGCCTATTATTTGAAGACTTTATTAGTATAAAATAATTATAGAACCGAACTATGAGATGAATGAAGCAAATTATGACCCACACAACAAATATTACATGGATTTCTTTTTTTTCTTTTTTTTTTTTCTATCTGAACTTGCAGGGAAAGAGGTGCTCGGGCTCTCGAAGAAAGACTTGCATCTGAGAGACTCGCCGCTTCAAAGAAGACTGAGGATACGCAAAGAGATGCAGCCGAAAATGTCTAGAAGCTTTCGAGAGGGCAATTTGTGTATGCACGGTTTTCTCTTGACAAACTTCTGCGCAAATTTATCGATGCATGTTTTCAGATTCTGGGAGAAAATTTTCTTGTTTATGTTTGGTTATGATTCTCTCACGAGCACTAGTTTTATTAGAACGTATACTAGCAAGAGAAATTGGTAATTTTCAATTCAGAATTAACTCTGTTTTCTTCTGAGGTATTTTTCTTAAATAAAGAAAAAATGAAAAAAAAATAAAAATAAATACTTGGTGTGATTAAATTGAGCAGAATTCTGGAGTGTATATTATTTGAAATTTGCTAAAAATATAAATTTTATCAATTTTTTTTTTTTTATTAGTTACTTTCTTGGATTTTATGTCAGAAATAGATTTAGATATCTTTTCACACAGTCAAACGCAAATCTTAAGATTGAAGAAGAAAAATAATAAGTACCAAACCCAGGAAAGAAGGCAATGGTTGAGGGAGTAGATGGGCCTACCATGCTGTAGGCCCAATTATTGAGGACATGCATTGGGACCCGTGAACGGTGAAATGCAAGCAGGCTTGCAGCATGTGTTTTAACTGAATGATGAAAGATAAATTATACTATATGTAATAATTAAGAAAGATTAAAGGAAAAAGGAAAATGAGAGGAAAAATACTTTTTTTTTTGGGGAAACAATCATATTTATTATTATATAATATAAATTAAAATGGACATATATTTTGGAATTATATAATCTACCAAGAAAATAGACAACTAATATGTAAGTAGGCCCACAATACGGGGACAAAACACAAACACAATTGGTGATAACAAAAGGTAAAAAAGAAAAAATAAAAACACAATTACACACCTACAACAACAAAAATTTTATGAAGGCATCGAATGACTCTCTTATGAAACCATCTATAACTTTATGTATCGACACATGTTCAATGGCATTTATTGTGTCAATACATCATTTGTGAATAACCATGGATGACTCTAGAATCTGAGTCATCCGATGACTTCATAGCAAAATCGCCTACAATAGATATTATATGACATGTAAATAAACTCAAATCTTAGACCGACATGAATAAAACTATGTAAAATTGATAAAATTCACTCCAATGCAAAGAGAATAGACATTTACTTGGGTCTAAAATAGACTTAAGGGTAGACCAGGTATCTTTTTTTCTGACAGCCACATCAGCAGGACCCAGTCTACTTTTATTTGCATTGGAGAATATTTTTTTTTTAAACTAGGTCTAATTTTAGGTGGCATACAATTTTTTGTGATTGAACCCAAATATTGTGGATGTTCTTGTTTCTAACAAACCAACCATTATTGTCACACAACTCAACACACGTCAGTTGTTGAATTCAATGACAAAATGATGATCGGCTGATCAAAACATCTAGAAATAGCCATTTGTCAGCAACAAACATTGTTTTAAATAACTCGCTATATAGTTTTTTTTCGAAAAAATGCTGACACAACCTTTTATATTTAGGGTTTTTAGCGAAAAGCTTACGCGAACGCTTTCTTACGCTATTGTGCGCTATTTCACGCTATTGTGCGCTACATTATGGTATACTTTTACAACGACATTTGAACAATAAAATATTCAAAACCTCGTATTTTTATGAAATCAAATTCATATTTACAAATGACAAATAAAAACTAAAAATTTTGATAGTGATTTCAAATTAAAGGTATGCAAAGTCTTGAGTTGAATAGTGCAATATTTATCAGTCCATTTTTGTTATATTATTTTATTTTTCAACATTAAACATTTAAAAAAATAAAAAGTTCATATTAATGGTTAGAATTAAGTTGTAGGTAAATAAAATTATATTTAGAAAGAATAAAATGATATACTATAAATTATACTATGACTTACCTCATTATATTTTTGTTGTTTATTTTTACTTTTTAGTATATTCGATTTATTATTTAAATATTTATATTATGATGATATTTACATTAAACATTTGTGATAAATAATCTTTAGATGTTATTTTTTAAGTCATTCAAATGCTATGATAATTTTTATAATCAGCCATCCAGTTAATATTTCTATACAAAAATATATTCAAATAATTTACGCAACACGCGACGCTATTTACGTTACGCAATATAAAGACCAAAACGCGACGCATTACATATACGCGTTTTAAAACACTGCCAACAAGACAGTATGCATGCGCTTAACTCGGAATTTTTTTGAACTAACTAAGACTGGTTAATTAAGTTGTGCATTATTGTAGCCTAATTTTTTATTTTATTTAACTATTTGAATGGGCTAATATTTGAATAAGGCTACTTAAGTAACTTAACTGACTGATATTTTAAAATTCAAACTATTATTTTTTATATTACCTATTGGTTCAATTCGATTTTGTATCGTTACAAACGAGTCAGTTCAATTTAATTTATTTTTTCGTCGGTCTGATTTGATTCGATTCAATTTTCAGTTGTTGGTAAAAAAAAATAAAAAAAATAAAAGCCATATTTTTATCGAGTAATGCTCTCCTATTCTCAGTAGACACATGTTAATATGTCCACTGCTAATGTGGCATGCACACATTAATAATGTTAATATGTTCAAAAAAATACATTATCAATATACACACACCACATAAACGGTGGACGTATTAATATGTCTCGAGTATATTAGTCTATTCTTACCTAGCCAAAACCCCCCACTACACTACACCTCATCAAATTAAATAACAAAATAAAAAATAAATAAATAAATAATGAAAAGAAAAAGGCCACTACACTACACCACATCAAATTAAATAACAAAATAAAAAATAAGTAAATAATAATGAAAAGAAAAAGGAAAAAAAAAAAGAAAAAGGAAAAAAATAAAATAAAAAGTAGAGAGAAGCTCTCTCTCTCTCTCTCTCTCTCTCTCCTCTTTCTTCCATTTTCATTTTCTCTTATCACTTCAATTCCGCCCTTAACCCCAGATTTCATTCTTCTTTTCTCTCTCTTATTTCTCTCTCTTCTCCCAACACAACACAACACAACACAACACAACACAAAAAGGGTAAAAAATATAGAAGAAACCCACCAAAAAAAATTATTCCTTTCTTCTTATTTCTCTCTGGTTTTCAAGGAAACCCTAATTTAAAACCGCGGTAAATTGAGGGACCATCGTCGTGTACAGTTAGCTTCTGTACAAAAGGGGCCGTCTTGGATGAGATTGAGGCGAGGCGGCGCAAAGAGGAGGAAGAAACAGCAGCGGGGTTAGAGGATAAACCAGTATTTGATGCCGCCGGAGCAACTGCCGTGGGATCGAAGGGATTTTCGCAAGCACGATAGATCCAGCTCCGACCGGCGTTTTACAGGCGGTGGAGGAGGACGGGGAGGATTCGGCGGCGGGGACCACAGATGGAGGGAGCAGCACCATCACCCGCACGGGCCGCCGCACCCACCGCCTTACCACCACCACCGCAGCAATCCGCAGCAGCAGCGTTGGTATTCGGATTTCCGCTCCTCTCGCCCCATCCCACCCGGTGAGTAATCGATTTAGAACTTCCTCTCGTTTTTTCTTCCGATTTTTTAAGGGGTTCTCTGGTATTAGAGGGTTGGTTTCGTCTCCTGTCAGACGGATTAGGTTTTTCGTTCAGATTCGTGGAGTTTGTATGGTTAAAATAGTAGTTGAGAGCTTTCTCTTGAGTGAGTGGTTTTGTAGATATTAAAAAAGGTTTTCACTTGGTCGATTCGTGTGTTTTTTCTCCAGATTAAGATTGACAAAGCTGGTTTGTAGCCTTTCTAAATGCTAACTGCTTTAATACTCTAAAGGGGTTTTGGTAGATGAATTTGGAGTAGATCTGCTGTATTAATAACAAACAAATCTAGTTGGGCGGGTGCGTGGTGGTTTGTAGATCTAACGCCGCTTTGCTTTTCGTTGGGGTTTAAAAGTTAAAAATTTGGATATCATTGTCCTCATGGGGTATTCAGTTTATCTTATGTTGTCTTTCTACCCATGTTTTTGGGTATGTATTGTTTCTTGCTGAAGGTCATGGTAAGCAGGGTGGTTGGGGAGTGCATCCCGATGAGGCTGGTCGTGGATTTTTTCCTTTTGGGTCAAGGTACGGTGACAGAAACATAGAAGATGACAATTTCAGACCTTTCGGGTCCCGCGGTGAAGGGAGGTATTTTAGGAATAGTAGGGAAAACAGAGGATCCTTTAGCCAGAAGGATTGGAAGTCTCCCTCCTGGGAACCACCTGTTGCATCGTCTGGTGGTTCAGGGAAATCCAACGACGATTTGTGCAATCAGAAATCTATAGAGAGTGCCCAAACATGCCCCAGCAACAGCAACAGGGGTAACAACTCCGAGAATGCCGAAACATATCATCACAACATTAGTAAGGGCAACGGCCCCGAGAATATCCAGAACAACAGCAAGGGCAACAACTCTCAGCTTCCTCCTCCGGATTCCATTTGCAGCCAGCCTCAAACCGTGTTAAAAGAAAAGAATGAGAAGGATGGGGGCACTCGCGATGAACCTCCCTGCGCTGTTCAGAAATCCGACAAAGAAAATGCCGTGGGATCAATGGACTGGAAGCTGAAATGGAACCGGTCAGGGAACTTGTCCTCAAGGGGATCTGGTTTAAGCCGTTCAAGTAGCTCCAAGGGTACTACGGTGGGTTCTGTCGAGAAGATGGCAGAGGTGCAGCTGAAGAATATGGCGCCTGTTGACACACCTGCTGCAGTTTGTGTGGAGCCCACTGCTCAAGCTCCATCTGACGACACTGGCTCAAGGAAGAAGCCTCGCCTTGGCTGGGGCGAGGGTCTTGCAAAGTATGAGAAGAAGAAAGTTGATGGTCCTGAAGATGGTGTTTCGAAAGATTTTGTGGCTAACAGTGTCAGCACCACCGAAGCTTTGCAGTTTACTTCTGTTGATGTGCTTCATAAAAGTCCCAAAGCCGTAGATGTGTTAGATTGTGCCTCACCAGCAACTCCGTCTTCGGTTGGTTGTAGTTCTTCTCCAGGTAATATATTGTGTGTTTTACTAAGCACCTTACTTTTCTTCCCTAGGTGTTTCATTGATCACCGATTCACTCTTCCAAATTTGCCAAAGTAATTGTCCTATATAACATTATTAACATTTATTTGGGTTACAATCTGTGATAGATTAATATCTTTCTGAAATATGCAATTACCTTCCATGTCAGGGATGCAACAACATAGAAGCAAATCTTATTGTTTTGTGCTATATATTGGTTAGATTGTGTTTTGGGATGGTGAAAATATTGATTTCCTTACAGTTCCTGGATTGAGTGCATTTATATCCAGCTTATTGCTGGGTATCATCACATAAAGCGACGATCGCCTTTTAGCTTCTTGAAGAGATCTTATAATTAATGTCAATAGGTGTTTTATTATCTTTGATGTATAGATTGAGATATCTGGTAGAGGCCTAGTTCGAGATACAATTGATGAATAATTTGAAAGTTATGGTGGCTTCAGTGTCAGACTTCAGGGGTCTAACACTCTAACTCTAAGGTTCTTTGCATGAAGAATTAAATAACGATACATATATGAACTTGGCATTATTATGCTAACTTGCTCTCAAGTATTGTAGATCCATGACATTATTTTGATAACTTGCTCTCAAGTATTGTAGATCCATGTCAAATAGGGCTAAATATAATTGTTACAGTTTTTCTTCATCGAGTATCCAGTTTCAAATAATATCAATTTAACTCTGCGTGCCTATCATTTTGTTTGAGTAATGCTATAAGTACATAATATTGTACATTGGGGTGTACATAACACTCACATTGAGTGGGACCCGCCAAAAATAAAAAATCAAGCGGACCCCACTCCATGTGAGTGTTATGTACACCCTATGTACATTTATTATGTACTTGTAGTATTTTCCTTTTTGTTTTGTGATTAAGTGTCTTCATCAGTGTGCAGTCATGCAAGGCTCTCTATTTCTTGCTATGCCAATTGAGGCTTCAGAGAATTTGAGTGTTGTTCTGCCTTAAAATTCCATGGGCTGACCAACTCAGCCAAGTCACTTCGGCCGTGCATGTTTATTGACTAAGAATTTTATTTAGTTTTTTTTTTTTTTTTTTTTTTGGAATTTATGTAATTGTGCCCTTCATTTTCTGGTAGTAATCAAAATAGTTGGAAATGAGAGCTGGGGCATGATGTGAAATCAATAGATATGCTTCTTCTAGAAATGAAAAAAAAAAGGTAAGATAAGGGAAGTTGATTCATCTTTCAATGTGACCAGTTTTTCTTTGCTCCAGTAGTTTGTTTGTTCAAGAACATGTTGGGTTAATGAGCATCGGAAGCAAATAGAGATTTTTTTAAAAATAGTTGATAAGGTGCTTGCGCAATCTTGGGAAAACCAATAATTTGTTTCATTCTATGTGTCAATTTTGGAAAATCAAACAACATCAATTGCATTGATTTCTCTTTTGATCCTTAATCTTTGAACTATGCACAACTTTCTAATTATGTGTTGGTTAATAACAGAAATGGGTAAAATATTCATTAAGTATTAGTAAATACATCAATAAACGACTTTCTTTATATTTATGAAAACTCCTATGAGCCCGAGACAAAAAAAAAAGAATGTATCTGAGAGAGTAATGTGTAACGAATTAGTTTCTGCATGTTGATGAATCATATTAAAATGTCGAGCACCAATTAGGGCCATGTAACAGATGAATCAGATTGTCTGGCCTTGTTTATATTAATGAAACCGCTGCCATTTACGTAAAAAAGCAAATTATTCAAAACAAAGTTGAATGTATATTGTTTATTGCTAATAAGGCATATTAAGTCTCTCCCTGAATGTTGATTTGGTAGAAATTGACGTGAGATACTGTTTTGTGGTTGCATTTATGTTAATTCTTGTTTCATTTGTTTGATCTGTATTTGACCTGTATTTTCAAGTGATTTACTTGTTTTTGGCCATTACTAGAGGTGAAAAATCGTGTTGTAGTGTCGTGTTTCACCACCGTTTTTTTTTTGTGGTATCTGTTTTATTTTTATTTGATCAAAATATGATGATACGTCCAAATTTAACTAAATTTTTAATTTTTGTTTCGGGTTGTGCCGTGTTGAGATGTGTCTATCGTGCCATTTGTCTCTATAATCGTATTTTCTAATCATTTCTTGTTCGTGTTTCATATCCTGCCGGCAATTGCCATCCCTACATGTTATTATCATGTGTTCATTGGTAATTTTAATCATTTTCGTCATATAAAGTTCATTTTCTTCATCACCTGGAGGACACTAATGTTAACGTAATTAACTTGTGAGTACTTCTGCAAACAATTTGGTTATTTGCCATCATCAGTCTTGACACTCTTCTCACCATTCAAATACCATTAAATATAAACTGTTTGCTAAGTTACTTTGTTGAAGGAAGAGCATCTCATATTTGAATTGTGTGCTGATGGTGCTATAGTTTTAGAATGAAACGATGCTTAAGTGTTTCCGAGGAATCTAATATTCTGAAAGAAGGTGATCCTTTTTTCACCTTCACTCAAAATTGTACTTAGTTGAACATGTTGCTGGTGCAATAACAGTTGGTCTTTGCCTGGCCCTTTATGAGTGAATTTGCCTTTGCTTGCACGGGGTTGTGTGCTTTATTCAAATTCTGTGCTTTGTCAAGTGAAATTTCTTATACTGTTCATATATTTACGCATTTCAGGTATTGAGGAGAAAGAATCCATCAAGGCAGTAAATATCGTTCACAATACTGTTAATTTAAGTTTTTCACCTAGTATTGTGTCCCAGACTCATAGCGAGGAACCGACTTTCAATCTGGAAAATTTGGACCTTGCATCTATTGCCAATCTGAGCTCATTAATTAATGGGATTTTGCAACCTGATGATCCAACTTCTCTGGAAACAGGCTATGTACGAGCCACCTCGATGAATAAATTGTTAGCATGGAAGGTTACTGTATTAAAAGCACTTGAGGTGACTGAATCTGAGATAGACGTGCTCGAGACTGAACTCAAGTCACTGGTAGCTGAACCTGGAAGTTGCTGTCCTCAGCCAGCAGCTTCTAGCTTGCTCCCAGGAGAGCGCCATTCAAATTCTTACGAGCAAGTAAATGTCTCTAGCTCTGTTAAACCTTCTTTGCAAGTGGTCGCATCTGGAGACATGATTGTTGAGAGTCCTCCAGCCAATGATGAAGATAGTATGAGTGACGAAGATGAAGATGATATGAGTGATGAAGATGAAGGTAGTACGAGTGATGAAGATGAAGATCTTACTGGTGTTGGCCGTATGTATTTTGACTATGATCATATTTATGAGGATATATTGGCTTCGAACAAGGTTTCTGCAAACAGGGCCCTGGAGGAGTTGAATAAGTTATTGCCTACTCAACAGTTTCCGTTAGATGTGTTGGCTGCTGCAAGTGTATCTTCTTTACAAAGGGATACCTCAGTAACTAAGCATAGGTTTCTGATGAGGAGGCGGTCTCTCCTGTTCAAGGAGAAGGTTCTTGCTCTCAAGTTTAAGGTATTTCAGCATTTCTGGCGGGAAGGTCGTGTAGTTTCTGTAAGTAAACTTCGAGGGAAGTCTCACAAGAAGTTGGATGTGTCTCGGACTGGGTTCAAGAAGAATCGTTCATCCAATCGCTCTAGAATATCTTATTCTGGTAAGTAATTTAGCTGCTTTTTATGTATATTCTTTTGATCGTTTGGTCTTTATCTGAAATGATCTTTGCACTCCTTTTATTGGTAATGTTGATGGTGTATTTCCTGCCATTAGTCCTCAACGTAACATAAGAAATTGAACCTATATAAAATATTCAATGGTTCTTGTCACAGTTCCAAGACACTTGTGTGGATGGAAAGACTTGAATTACATTTCTTTCTCCATAGGTTTATAGGCCATGTGGCCTGTGCTTCTATGGTGTTTATATTCAAGAAAATATAAGTTCAAGCTTACAGTGAACTGAGATGCTTCCGAGGATAATAGTTTCTAGCCAGAGTCTATATATTCAAAGTCTCATACTAAAGCGATTTTGCAACCTTCTCCCCCATTTGGCTTCTTGTACTGCCAACACTTCATTCTCAGGATTGCAACCTTCTTTTTGGTTACATTGGCGACGGCCACCTGAGGCTATAATTTCTTTCTGTCTCTTTAATATGTCAAAGGAACATATATTTGGTCCTATTATAACCCACCTTCTTTGTTACCAGTTAGGATTTTATTGAATCTACTTTGTGGAGTAATTTTTTCATAAAAAGGATTAGAGTTCAGTTTCTAATAGTTTTTGCCTGTAGTAAGAGCTGTATAACAACTCAATTCCTGTGTTGCCGACCAGAGGTGGTTGTCATTCTCAAATGGGTTACATCAAGTTTGAGTCAGTAACTCAGATGTGTAGACTGTAGTGCTTATCTTAAATTAAATATATCAAGTTGTTATCATAAGATTGGTTTTATCATGTTCTTGTAAGTTGTAAGTCGCCCTACATAAAGGTGAGGACTAATTTCTTTCTTTGTCATTTGAGGCAATCTTTCTCCACTATTTGCAATTATCTAGTACTTCATTGTGGTAATATCTTGTTTAAATAAGTTTGAAATTAGTTCCTTGGCCATTTTATCCCGACGTTCCACTTACTATTTCTTACTATATTTTAGCTGGAAGCTCTCGTAAAGTGCCTGCCGAAGAAGTAATTGAGTTTATCACCAGGTTGCTTAGAGAGTTACAGATGAAGCCCTGCAGGAGTACTCTGAAAATGCCGGCAATGATTTTGGACAAGGGGATAAAAATGTCAAGGTTTGTCTCGAATAATGCTATTGTGGAAGATCCTTGTGCTGCTGAAAGAGAGAGGTCCATGATTAATCCCTGGACCCCTGAGGAGACGGAGATATTTATTGATAAGCTCTCTATTTTTGGTAAAGATTTCAGCAAGATTGCATCCTTCCTGGAACGTAAGACTGTGGCAGATTGCGTCGAGTTTTACTATAAGAATCACAAATCAGAAAGCTTTCAGAGAGCTAAGCCAGGTGTAACAAAGCAAAGCAAGTCCCAGGCCACCACATACTTGGTTGCTAATGGGAAAAGATGGAATCGTGAAGCAAATGCCGCTTCTCTTGATGTACTTGGCGAAGCCTCCATGATGGCAGCTAATGTGATAGAAACTCAGCAAAAATGTGCACCATCGAGGATCTTTCTAGGAGCATCTCGTTCTCAAAAGGCACCACCTAGGATTTTTCATGGTCCACTGGAGAGATCAAACAGTCTGGATAATAATGATGCCGTAGCTGCTGATGTCTTGGCAGGTATTTGCGGTTCACTATCTTCAGGGGAGGCCATGAGTTCCTGCATCACAAGTTCGGTTGACCCAACTGATGGATATCATCAGAGAGTCACTTCTTGCGTGAAACGGCCTTTGACTCCAGATGTTACACAGAGTGTCGATGATGAGTGCTCAGACGAGAGCTGTGGGGAGATGGTGGACCCCACCACCGATTGGACTGATGAGGAGAAATCCTTCTTTGTTCAGGCCGTGTCATCTTATGGCAAGGACTTTGCAATGATCTCTCAGTGTCTTAGAACGCGGTCCGTCGAGCAGTGTAAGATATTCTTTAGCAAGGCCCGGAAGCGCCTAGGTTTGGACCGTGTTACCCCTGGACTTGGCAATGCTGGTGTTTGTGGTGGTGATGATGTTGATGGAGGTGATGGCAGTAGCGATCGAGAAGATGACTGTGTTGTGCAGACTGGGTCGGTCATTGCCAATGACGACTCGGAGTGTAAAATGGAGGTGGATCCTCCCGTGAAGTGCATCCATGAATCTGATATGCCTGGAACAAGCGAGTCGAAGCCTGATCCCCTCGACTCTGTTGTTGCTGAACCCGTTTTGAAGGATTTGTCGATGGCTGATAATATTCTGGTCGATGATAAGCAAGTTGTGGATTTCAATTTGGACAGTAAAGAACAGAGTTGTGTTGTTGGGGCATTTACACCCGAGCTTGACGTGAAAACCTCAGTTTTATCCACTACTATTATTGAATCAGTAAGAGTTGGAGAGGGAAGTGACCATGGTCAGACAAATGGTGGTTCTACTGATGCTGATAGCAAGGGTTTGTCAGATGATAATGAAGCACACGAGCTTGTTTTGTCTGATGATAATTTGGAAAATAAGAACGTTGAGGATGTGGGTGCAAATTCTATTGAACTGAATGTTGTAAGCTGTACACCTGTTGAGGTGAAGGCTGAGAATGTCTCTCATCCTTCTGTTGATTCACTTCCTTCCTTCCAAAAGGATTCAGTGAGCCAAAATCACCCGTTGGAGCAGAATGGCCACCTTGAATCTATGGAGTCATCAACACTGTTCTCTGTTCCCATTAAATATCAAAGGCACCCGACTAGTGATGCTCTACACGATGTGCATGCGAACGGGACCAGCCAAAATCATCCTCAGAAGCTTTCTGTTACAGGTGATTGCCCGCAGCATATCTCAAGTCACTCGCTTTCAGATTCTGTCGAGCCTTCCCATATTCTCAGGGGCTACCCTGTTTCAGTGCAGAGTCTGAAGGAGTTCAATGGTGAAGTTATAAAACATGTTCCTACACAAAATGTTCCTATGATGGACGGTAAACTGAATTTAGACCTGCACGCAGATTTTTCCCTTAGGAAGTGTTCTACCGAGTTGAAAAGTCAGATTGAAAACGTGCCTTTTCCACCACCCCAACTACCAATGAGGAATCATCATCATTCGGGACCCCAATCAGGCTGCTCGCCTGATTTGGACAAGCCCCAGCCTTTAAAGAATGGGGATGTGAAGTTGTTTGGTAAAATCTTGATATCATCCCACGAGAAAAAAACCAGTTCTTGCGATCAAGATGTTAGTAATAACCGTAATAACGGCCATCATCATCATCACCAGCAGCCGCTGACCTTGAAATTCAGTGGCGATGACAATGCTGTTGTTAATTTAGATTCTTTTCAGTCTAAGGTTGGGTGCAACAGTTATCTCACCTCCTCCAAGAATGACAATAATATTCCTTTCAAAAGTTTCAGCTGTTGGGATGAGACCCGGACAACACAGCCCACAATATTCCCTTCTTTGCCCGATTCGGCTCTCTTGTTGGCCAAATACCCCACGGCTTTCCACAATCATTCTACTCCAACTTTGAAATTCGACCAGAGTGACCATCATCCATTTTTTCAAGCAAGAGAAATGAAAAACGGGTTATCAGATTACCAGCTGTTGAGAAACCGGGATTTGCAGCCTTTTACCATGGATAATAATATGAAGCAATCACAAGATGTGTTGTTCTCAGGGATGCAAAGAAGAAACGGGTTCGGTTTGGTGCAGGGAATGCAACAGCAAGCAGCAAGATCTTCGATGGTTGGAGGCCAGTGTTCTTCGGGTGTTTCAGATCCCGTAACAGCAATCAAACTGCATTATGCAAAGGCTCAGAGTATAACTGTGCAGGCTGGTAATGTAATTAGAGAGGAGGATACTTGGAGGAGTAATGGAGATGTAGGCAGGTAGCTGTAAGTTGAAAGTTTAATTTAATCGGCCTTTTTAGTGGCGAGGCCGAGTTTGTTCGTGACAAGTTATATGCCTATTGTTTCTTGTCGCGTATGTATTATAGTTTTCTTTTTCTTTTTTTGGTTCGATTTTTCGCTTGTTTTTGTTTCGAGTCAGCAATGCAAGGCAGTGAAATATTTCTGGATAGGATCCTTTTTTTCTCTTAATTATTTTTGGGGATAAGAAGTTTCCTAGATCTTTTGTAATTTTGCAGGAGCTTTGTATTTGTTGTATTTGGTATAAATACAGGGGAAAAGGGGTTCTTGTTGACAGATTTGGTGGAGAAAGTAGAACTATTTGTTCAAGTGGGCCTGTATTTAAACATCTCCATTTTTTTTTTTTTTTTTTTTTGCTGAGGTTAATTTACTTGATGCTGGTTAGCTTATGTATTTTAACTCTCTTTGATGGATGACTGTATGTTAAGTTGTATCTTATCTTCAAGAATCCTTGCAACTTGATGTGGAATGGATGTTGGATCCAAATTTCCTTGTTTGGTGTCTTGTTCTAAAAAAATAATATTTTTCAATTTAGTGTCTTAATCTAAAAAAAAATAATAATATTTTTTCAATTTGTATCCAAAATGTGTAAATTATTAAAAATGCTGTAAGTACATAATATTGTATATAGTAGTGTATATAACACTCACATTGAGTGGGATTCATCAAAAATAAAAAATCAAGTAGACCCCACTCCATGTGAATATTATGTACACTTTTATGTACATTTGTTATGTACTTGTAGCATTTTTCTAGTCTGAGTGGTAGGTGGGGATATCTTCTACAAAATAAAGCATTCACAATGTGGTAGAGGTGAGACAACAAAGCGTGAGTGACTTCATGAATTTATTGGTGTTTTTTTCTTGGATGCTTTACCAACTGAAAGGGACTCTCGTGGGCCAAAAACCCAAACCACTTGTAACAGCTGTCAATCTTAAGTGGGGGACATATTTTTTCAACATTATAAGTTATATATTATTATTTATATTATTATTATATTCTACTATTATTATATTCTACCTATTGATTATTTTTATATCCTCATACTATAGGGATGCAAACATGGAACATAGAAAAATACATTCATGCTGGAAAAATATGGATCAATAAAAAAGTCCAGATTTTCATAGTTATCTGCCATGAAAACACATAAATGTTGGAAAATATGGCTTACTAAGTCTAGATTTTCGAAGGTATGTACCGGTTTATCTTCAGACGAACCCCATCTTCTCTGTCGATTCTTCTAATGTTTGTAGGATGAGTGGCAAAGGGGAAGTGATTGCAATTACCTGAAAAAAGATGAAAGAAAAATGAGGTCGTAACTTTTATTTTTCAGAGGATTGATGGTTCTAAATTTTGAGTTTCGGTTAAATGATTGCTAGCTCGAAGTAGGATTATTGCAGAAAACATGATCAAGAATTAATAGTTAGTTAGTGGGTGAAAAATACTATGAAGTATGCACATATTAAATCAGCATTTAGTCACATGCCAATCCTTATATAATATTCTTGAAAGCGTGACAATCCGCAAATTCATCCTACATATATAGACAACTAGACATGTCCACGGGCCGAACCGGCCCGTTGACCGCGGGGCTTGAACCAGCCTGTGGTTTTACCCGGGCCAGTTCAGTTCAATGATTTTTCACAAATTGGACTACCAGTTCGGCGAATTTTTTTTTTTTTTTTATTATTAATTTTATTGGTTCGGCCCAGAACCAGGAACTGGCCATGACTACGCACGTACCTCATCTGTCAGAGGATGGGCAAAAGTTACATGGTGGGCATGCAAATGGTAGCCACAGTCACCAGGAACAGGTTTTTCAGGCCTTTCATATCCTCTGAAATTAAAATAGAGAGTCTCATGAGCACAAAATCACAGAGAAAATTATAGACTGGACATCAGTAAAAGCTGCTAGTTAGAATCACACAAAATTTTATAAGGATACCAGATTAAATATGCAAAGCATTAATTAAGAAATAAGAAATATCTCTTCTGAGGCTCTACCAAAAAACTCATCTTACACTTTGATAACCAAAACAAGTATAATAAGGCTATGTTTGGTAAAACTAACTGATAGTTGATAAGTTAGTTGATAGCTTATAAGTGAATTTCGAGCTTATAGCTGATAACTTATGGCTTATGACCGAAAAATCAGCTGATATAAGAACAGATAATGTTTGGTAAAATTAGTGAAATAGAAATTTCAACGAGCTTATTTAAAAACCTACCAAAAGAAGCAGACGAGATAAGCTCGAGCTATTTAAAAAAGTTCGTCCTACCAAACCAAGCTTATTTGTATATAGAAAGCTATAAGCTAACCAAATAAACTATAGGCTACAATGCTTACCGAACACACAATAAGACTAACTACCTATATGTCCATATATGTTTGTGATTAGACAATTTCATGGTGAAGGGAAGATATATTTAGTGAAAGATCAAAGAGCAAAGAAAGAGTTCGCAAGTGTGGTGGCATTATATGACAGATATAAAGATATCTGAGACTACCATTACTCGATTTCATTCTAAACTATAAGACCCGAGATGCAAAATCCAGAATAATGTTATCTTGGGCTTAGGTATTAGATCATATTCTTAACGTCACAATGTTTGTTCCAGATTGTAGTGGATTTCTAGAGTTCAAGAGTTCTTTATGCTAAATTTCTTCGTATTATTCTTCATGATAATAATTAATAGATTCTATAATAACCTTGACTGTCATGCAGGAAGCATGGGCAGCTACATCTATTGATGGGTAGAAGAGAATGAAAGAAAAAAAACAAAAAAATAAATCAGATATAGTTTACCCATCTTGAGAAAAACTTCCATCATCAGACTTATGATCGGAACACTTTGGTTGCCCACCGATATCATAAAGAGGATCACCTGCTAAGCAGCAAGCAATATTTCAGATCATGCTTAATGTAATAAACATACTTCTATTCCACCTCACAGATTCTACTCCTCCGCTTTCTTTTATTTTTTTTATATACATATAAATGGTCCATAAGCTGTACAACTCACGCACAAAAAGGGATACACTAGGCTGAGTCTTCATGGTGCACATACAAAAACCTTTATTGTATTATGAGTGATGGAATGTAAAGATTTGCACAATTTGTGGTAAAAGAATCATGTCTTTTATATGATTGCCCCGATCTCTGCCCACCGGCAAACAATCAGATACCACTAGGCTGAGTCTTCATGGTGCACATACGAAAACCTTTATTGTATTATGAGTGTTGGGATGTAAATATTTGCACAATTTGTGGTAGAAGAATCATGTCTTTTATATGATTGCCCCAAATTATTTGAGCAATATCAGTTAACTATTTTTTTATAAATTTCTAATTCATGCAGCAAGAAGACTCCAACAATATTTCAATTTATTATTAAAGAAACTACAAGTTGTTAATTTCTTTAAGTTGTCCACGACCTAATTGTGGGCAGGAACATAAATATAGGACGAAAGAAACTTTAAACCCGCTGAGAGTTACCTACAAGTGGGTGCCCAATGAAAGCAAGATGAATGCGAATTTGGTGTGGCCTGCCTGATTGAATTTGGACCTAATAAATACACAAATCTGAAGTGAAACTCATATGAAATTTCATGTCAGTAGGCATATATATACATGAATGTAGGCAATAAAAGGTCAACAAATCTTGGCGAAGAATCAAAGCAAATGTAAAATGAACTATTGGAAGGACCTTTATAAAGCTGGTGTAAAGCTTTACCGTAATAACTTTCATATTTGCATGCATATTATTAGGAATTTACGTAGGATTGCAGAATCTAGAGGATCATGTTATAATTCTCTGTTTATGTCAATTATATCGGATATTGGTTTTCAAGTTCTACACATTTTATTACTATGTGAAGTGTGAAGATAGTTGCTCTCTCAGATTGTACAGGTCACCCCTCAAACGGTCTAACAATTAAGAGCATTATACTGCAAAATGATAATTTGTAGACCAGCTGTGAAATCGTGTTAAGATTGATGCTCTGGGCTCCTTATTACAAGTACATTGAGATTGTATCACACAGAATAATGGAAATATAAAAAACTTCCTGGAACGTCAAAACAGCCACCAAAGCAAACCCGACTTTGCATATTATACATTCCAATAGATATTGCAGGCAAACCTTGACTATGGTGGAATTGCTCAGCAAGTTTCTCTCCAGAACAATAACTTTGCTCAAGGCTGGTTTCCCTGGAAATTTTCATGGGTAGACATTTTAAGAACAATAGAATGGTAGACTGGGAGATTATGAGAGAAAAAGGGCACTACGTTCTGGTAATTTATGACACTTGAGGAAATATTTTCAAAATGAAGGAGAAAGTTCGAATAAAGTAAAACAGAACCTGTAGGAGAGGCAACATACAACCCCTTGGCAACGCCAGGATATTTAACTGGCCCAATTGGTTGATCAATGACAACCTGTGAAGAATATGGTAATGTACAGTGTATTTACAAACATGGGAAGGTATGTGATGCCCATGTGATAATCATGTATGAATGTTTGTTTCTGACATTAGAAACCCGGTTGATCAACATACAGGAATGAAAACTGCAAGTAGAGAAAATACTTTTTTTTTTTTTCATTACCTCATTTTCCACTATGATCCCACTTGCTAGGGCTCGATATACTTTTGTTATATTCCTTGTTACCTTTTGGTCCGTATCAGTTTTCCTGTATCCATATCAAGGATGAGTTACATGATTGTGGTATATACAAAACAAATGATTGGAACCCAACCATGAAAAAATATACATGTGGATTTGAGCTCCAAACTGAAAACACATGTTATTGCTCTTCATTGTTTAGTATAAACTAATCCAAGAAACCAGTTAATAGCAAATTGAAGATGATTAGAACAACTGACTAAATGTTCACTCACCGACATTCCGCAACAAGAGATGTCCCATCAGCAAAAAAAGCTGCCAGACGAGATTTTGTGATCTTTGTTTTTGCACAAAGTAATATTCCTAGCAAAAAAAGAATGAACAAATATGAAATTTACATGATCCTGAGAAGCATTTCAAGTCTCAAATAGTACTTTTTAACCGGAAAGAAAAATGAAAAGTAACAAAGCACATTAATTATTCAGCTAAAGATTGAAGTATGGCATCTTGATGTCTACTAGCAACCATAACCTATATCATCTGGATTCTTACTTCTGAAATTCAAAATCAAGAAACCTTCCTTTGTCCATATTCTTATGTATCTCAAATTCTGAAAATAGTGGTGTCATAAAGATTTGGGTTTCAAGTTGTTTGTGTCTACAGGGACACGAGCAAGTGAGCATACACAATAAGGACACATGTATATATGTATACCAACTCAGAACAAAAAGAGAAATCACCGTCTTATTAATTGAATGCAGAGTTCCAACTAACAATGTTTTAATGAAAAGGTAAAAAAAAAAAAAAAAAATCTCCAGCTTGGTTTCTCCGATATAAAATTGACCAAGTACGTGGTAAATACAAATTCTCAGACAACATTTAACCACCTATCCTTTCATGCAATTAAATAAGTGGCATAAACTCTTAACAACTGTCAAAATCATCTGAAGATAGAAAAAGTACATAGCTAAATAGCTAATAAAGACTAACCTGAAGTGCCCCTCCCGAGACGGTGAACAGGAACAGGATGACGCTCTTGATGCTTTGTTGTAGTCGGGGTTCCTGCATGCCTTTGGAGTTGTGTCAAGACAGTTCGCTGCTGAAATAGTCCTCCGGGTAGAACTTGTAATCCCGAGGGTTTATTCAAAGCAATCTGAGTCCAGAACATATATTTAGAATTATGCAGCCATATATACACACATTCATAATGTTCCTACTTCTCAATGATTATCCAAACCAGCCTATACATAACTTGACTCTTTATTCTTCAAAACAGGCACTTGCAAGTTGCAAGTAATATAACAGTAAACACTACAGCCTACAGCAACAAATCATTGTTTGTTTTACCACATCTTCATTCTCGTACAGAATTTCCAGCAAGTACGGGGCATCGGGCTCTTTCCAAGGCAGGCGATGATAAACCAGTGCTTCACCTCCCCTAAAAACACACAAAACATACAAATTACAAAGCAAAAAAAAAATGCTGCTCTACTTGAAGCAAATTGACTGATGCTGGCAGCCCTTCAGAAAATTGCATCAATAAGAAAATCCAAAACCTGAGAATCGTATCAGGATCGGTCACAACACAGCCATCGATCGTTATCTGCTTATCGTGAATTCTCTGCAACCAGCTGCTCAGTACTCAGCGCATCATAAAATACATCCCAATAATGAATTTTTCATCTTTGTAAGGATGCTAAATTTGTTTATTTTACCCGTGCAAAGGAGCTGAGCTTTTGTACTTCCTAGAATAGAACTCAATCAGCGTCGCACCTGAAAATTTGAAAGAACAAAATACACATGTTCGTCACACTCGCGTACGCGCTGTAGCGTATAGACAATGTCCGGCGACGGCGTACAGAGAGAGGTATACCGGCATCGGAGGGTCGGATAAGATCACGGTAATGTATGCCGTCGTTGAGCTCCGGCCATGGCTCTCCGAATGAGACCATTTTCGCTGCGAACAGTACGGAAGTTGTAGAGAGAGGAGAAAATGTATGGAAGTCGCTGAGGGCAATTGCGATTTCATGATAGTAAAACAAAGGGTTAATTGCTAAATAAACCTAACCTTTTTGCGTTTGACAATTTTATCTCAATCTTTGGGTAATTGCAATATAATCTCGATTTCAATTTACTTATTGCAAGTCAAACCTAAAACCTGTTGGACCTTCAAAAAACTGGTCGATTTGAAGGTGGTTCGAACAGATCGGAGTTCATATTTACCGGTTTTCTCCAGATCTAAGAGGAGACTCATCATCGATAGCTTAAATAGACGTGGAATTTTCAGCTTTGTGAGTTGATATACGTTAAATACATGAAAATTGTCAACTTGCTACGTGGATGACATAAAAACATGTGTCAATAGAAGACTTGGACACAAAATCGGTCCACAAATCCTTAAAATCAATCACTCCGCACCCAAATTTGCAAGAAGTAAATTGAGGTCGAGATTATATTGCAATTACCCAAAAATTGAGATATAATTGTCAAACGCAAAAATGTTAAGGTTTATTTAGCAATTAACTCTAAAACAAATTATGCTAAAATTTTTAAAAAAAAAAGGTAATAAAGAAGCTTTTTTAATTTAAATTTTTGAATATTTTTAAAAAAAAAATTGTAATATTATTTGTATTTAAAATAAGTTTTTTTTATTATATTTCGTGTCATATTATAATAATATTTCCAATCATATGTAATGAGTTTAAAATATAATTTTATTATAAAAATTGTAACTAAAATTTAGAAAAAAAAAATGTAAGAGAAGTTTATTTTATTTAAAATTTATTATTTTTTTTTTTAAAATTTCATTAATATTTATATTAGAATATAATTTTTTTTTACTCATACAATTTGTTCGTTTAATAATTTTTCTAATTCACATGCAATGTTATAGATAACCTTTGTATTTGATAAATAATTTTATTAATTTTCAATTTGAGTATTAATAGATGATTTTATTTTATAATAAAGAAAAATAAATTTATTTATATATGCAATAAAATATCAAATTAAAGATAATCAAAAGATGATTAATTTCACACATTAAATATTAAAAATTGATGATATAAAAGTTTAACTTTTAATTTAACTTTTAAATATATCTATAAACTAATTTATAAGTCGAGTATTATATAATTTGAAAAGTGTTAGAATCCAAACCTACATTGACTACTCCAAATCACTATAAATTGACATTAAAACACCTTTCAACACATCATATTGTTATATAATTTTAAAAGTTCTAATACGTATGAATATAATCTAGATATATATTGACTGTAATCACAAAAAATTGGATTAGGAAGCATCATAATATGAGTTGTCTTGCAATTTTTTAAAAGTGCTAATAGTTAATAGGTATGTTGAAATCTAAATCTACATTAACTCGAAACACTAAAAATTTACACACATATTACAAAGCACGAGAATTCAAAAACAATAACACCTACGATTACGAAAGCACCAGAATTCAACACGTAAGATCGATGAATTCTACCTAATGGAATTTCTGGGTGATCATGCATCTTTTTTATTATCTTTTAGTAGATAACAAATAGCGATGTTGATTGGTAAATTGGCTTATATTGATAATAGTGTAATTTACTTTGAATTATTTTTTTGTATCAGTTCATATATTAATAACAAATATATTTTATAATAGATCTAGTAGTCATAAGTGTATCAACGGATGTATTCATTTGAATTTTATAACATTGTTGACATTTTTAAAATTTAAGTATATTTAACATGAACTTCATAAAACTTTAAAAGTTTTGAATTCCTTTTGAAATTTTAGAAATTCTTAAAAAGTCATGAAATGTATTCACTTTATTTACTGATATTTGAATAGATTTTTCAAGATTTATTGAAATTTCAAGCACAAATTACATGTACACGTCTTACTATCATATCTCACTCTGGTTTTAAATTTCTAATGATTTCAGTAAAATTAAATGAAAAATAAAAATTTTTTATTTTGAAATAGTATTAAAATATGATTTTAAATTTCTAATGATTTCAATAAAATAAAATAACAAATAAAAAGTGTCGATTTTGAAATAGTATTAAAATATCATACAAAGCCACAAACCTTAAAAAGTAAACACAAGCTAACACATTTTCTAATTTCTTGGATCCCTAATTCACAAATAAATTTAATTTTATTATTATTATTATTATTATTATTATTATTATTATTACTATTATTATTATTATTAGTTCTAAAAAGATACTAAATTATCATTTCACGAACATGGAATAATCAACAAAAACTTTATCCAAAAAATACCAAATATTTACCAAATAACATAATGCTCAAACATCAAGATAGAAGGTGGATTCATGACCACTGGAACTAAAAATAATAATTATGCCAAAAACTGTAAATTTGATCGATCATTAAGATCCCAATTTGGCAATCAGCTTAATTTTTCCAAGAAGACTGCACATTATTGAGGACAAAATATCTGATGCTAGTAGATTAATGCGATAAAACGTATTCCCTATGAACTTGATTTATCTTCTGATCTCCGATATTCGGGCTTGAGCTCATACGAACCTTGATTGGCTCCTTTGTTGTTGTACACGCAGAGCAGCTTGAGCATGTCTTTAAGAAATTGCTACAGAAATGAAAAATAAAAGACATTATTGAACAAAGAGAAGAATCATTTGGTACAAAGAGAAGAAAACTATATATATTTTAAAGAACACAGGGAAAGGGCCTATTAAATGAATCACCTGACATTGTCAAAGATAATTAACTGTCATGCCTTTCAAGAAAGGCAAATTACATACACATGTTCAGTTATTCTTTTTTATCTAGCATTACAAACATACAGTTGAGTTAATTTTTGGTTCACAATACGTCACTGCAATGCGTACAGTGACACACTTTGTAAAGGAAGACCAAATGCCAATGGCATATTTGCGATTTCGTCACGTTGGAAGATAAATGAGAAGGTAGACAATTAATTCTGATTTTTCATGTCAGACGACCACCATATAGTAAATAAAAAAATACATTATACAAAATAACAAACCTCGGGTTGATCTGTCTGCTGAATTAGCTGTTTCAATGTCCAATTTGACTGTCTCTCGAAAAGTTTAAACATTATCTTTTCCATTTCTTCAGGGTCTCTTCTTGTTCTTTTCGTTTCTGAACCCCTCGCTGGAGCTTTCTTATTATCCTATTCACACGTAACCGAAGATTTTTTTTTTTTTTAAATTAAGGATAATATTCAGATTGAAAGGAGGTCATGATGTGGAGAAACAAATATAATCAGCTTTACAAACATTTAACGAGAAAAAAGATACCACCGATACAGAGGACTTCATATCAATCATTCCTGGCATGGGCCTCATGCGCATCCCACTATCGTCGTCAATGATCTGATCAAGAGGTGTGCAAAAGATAAGATAAGATGCCATATAACTTACACACCAAACAGAAGAAAAAATGTCTTTAGTTCTGGTTTAGATGATTTGCAGTTTCCAATATTGCTTTTAGGTGTTGCATGGTTCCAATTTAAAATTACACATCAATAAGTTGTTAAGGTTGTATTGATTTCTGTGACAGCGGGGGATATGGGGAAGATTTTATTATGTTTGATTTATGTCAAAATTGTACTGCTTGAAGGGTCACTGTTTGATATATTTAAATGCTGGAATGTGATGGTACTAGTGTAATACTAAATGTGAGGGCCCACTTAATTTTAACTATGCGTAATGGTCATGCATTATATTGTAGTTTCAAAAACTGAAGATGTTCGGAAACCAGGTAGAAATTAGACACATCAAACATGATTTAAGATCCTGCAACAGACTATCGTGCTCGTTTAAAGAAAGCCCATCTCGTTCCAGATGAAATATCGCATACGACATGATAAAAATTTCTCAAAGAAGAAAAGTATACCTTAATTTGTCTTGTCCTAGTCATGTACTTGTTAGTCCTCTCCCGACATAGTTTTGCATAATCTTCCATATTTTCATTATGGGGCTTCATGTCGAATTTATGGTATATTTTCCCCTCCACAGAAGGCTTCCCTGTATACATTTTGACCCGAGTCACGGAACAGTATGAAGTCTTAAAACATAAAATATTACAAGACAATTTGAAGAAGCATATGCCTCAACCGGCAACAAATTAACATAAGCCAAAAATCTGGATAACTGCTCAAGATGTCATTGCTTTACAGTCTAAGTTGATATGTGCTACATTAATAATTAGACTGAAGTATGTTAAACAAAAAGATTACTTAAAAATGAAAAAGATTGAAGCAGACATACTAATGTGTATAGAAATTTATCAGGGATGGTTGAAGGTAACTTATAGTTGAAGTATTAGCATATTCTTCAACTAGGAAAAACCTTGGCTCTTAACTTAACTAATTAATCTATTATGACAACATAGGAAACAATCCATCTTATGTCAATGATAGTATGACTGTTAAAAATGACAATAGCAACAGCATACAAAAATGTGAAGAAAGGTACAAGAGTATAATACCACATTATTATTATTTAGAAGGATTGACCTTTCTTGAATTCAGAGAAGATAATTAGAAAATCACACAGGTCCCCAGTTCCCCTGGCAGGAAATCTACTCCATAAGAGTTTAAATGTATACTAACTCGTAGTGGAAAATGTGTCCACCAATAATTGGATTTTCAGTTACTACTTTATGTGATCATATACAATGGAGATGGATACGTAAATGCAGAAATTCATTATCTTATGAAAACTCTAAATTGCACACTAGTCTATTGCAAGAAAAGCTTTATCGAGATGATAGGAGAAGGATTCCAAGGCTGAGGCTTACTGATAATATATTAATAGCAAGTATGCACTTTAAATGTACTGTCCTTGGTCCTGACTGAAACGCCTCATCTTCAACCAAGAATATAAATTGTTGTTTAATACGACTATTGTGTAATAAACAATTGCAGCCACCTTGAGATGACTCGGCAAAGACACACATAGGCATAAAATCTGTGGACATGTTCATTGAGTAGCTCTTTGGCATGTTTCTATCAGCAGTGCCAGCCAACTCCATAGTAAACTGATAATCAAGTGACAGAAAGTAGAGAGTAAAAATAAGAAGAAGGAAGCAAAAAAAAATGGCAGTCCAGTGGTTTTTCCTCGACCAGGAATCTATGGAAAAGTAAGGAAGGTTGGCAGGCATTTGTTAAGATAATGTTCTCCACCTAAAATGGAGAAAGAATGCCATATCTTCAACTATGTAACGCTTATCAGTTTCAGAGTAACTACTCAGGTTTACGTCACAAATGAGTGAAATGACCTAAAATAAGGCATTTTCTTTTATGAAAAAGGATGAATATCAAAATTACCAAACCACTTCTGATACTGAGGAACTGCAGTAACTTTCATCATTGAATACAAAAGTGAAAATGAGACACCCAAAAAATTCAATTTCTCAGTTGTACAAATGCAACATATGAGAATTATGTATTGAATTGTATGATCCACTTCTATAATTAGGGTTAACGTAATTAGCAGCACATGGAAGAATTATGAAGGGAAACGATAGCATTTACACGAACTGAGATTGATCTGAAATTAGCATCCTGCTAAGAAGCATAAAGGGTTAAAAATATATTGCAAATACTTAAAAACAACATTCCTCGGTGGTGATACATATATTAATCTGAGTGCACAAATGCATGAATAAGACAAAAGAGTCATGAGACTTTGACCTGCTCTACAAGGTCAGAGTCATCTGATACAAAGTATTAACCGCCATCGACACATGTAGCTCTTTCAATATGGAATCGGATGAAAGTTGTTAATATGAAGGGAAAGTGTTTTAAACAGAACCCAATTAACCAATGCCATCCCAAGGATCATTCTAGATTCACTTTCTACACATCTCCAAATTCCCAGACATGAAGAATATGTAGGTTTAGAAAATTACTGTAACAAAATAAAACGTACACCGACACACTTCAGGAAATAAAAAAGGAGAACAAAGAATCCCTGAAATAAATTCCCAATTATCAGGGTAAAATGAATGTGTGCTAAGGAAGCATATTGTCAATGGGAGACTAACTGAGTGAAAGGAAGTGAAAGCAACAGGACAATGGTCATCAGGGAACATATTTGTCTAGGTTAGCACATTTTTAACAACATAGATTTCCCACAATCACGAATCACTCGTGTTTCAAGACGAGAATGTGGATATCAATGGGAGGCATCGAATTTTTAAAATCGAATGAGAGGCAACACTAGTTCGAAACCATCTTAGTCCTTAGAACTATAAAAACAATGCTGAGAAATTTCTAACCCTTTCAATCACATAAGGTAGGCAAAAAGCTGTAAAACTTAATGGGCATAATGATATTCCATCAAGATCACAACACCCAGCTAAAAGGCCTCCAATTCGAAGACTCAGCTCTTAGTAATTAGAGACGACGACAAAATTGAGCATAGATGAATCCATGCATGCGACATCAAACACCGAGAAACACACGGTTCCGGCTCCACACAACCCAGCCCATACAATTTCAAAATCGGACGAAAATTCGGCATCACAAAACAAACACAGAAATTAAGAAAATCGAAATTGGCCAACAGAAACAGAACACGAACACACATCCAAATTCGGCTCAACACATATACCTGCGTGGAGGAGAAGTCGTCGTTGGGGAGCAGCGGATCTACCGCGACGACGACCTTGGCGACGACGGGGCCCGCGGCGGTGTCGGCGGAGAACGGCGGCAAGGGCTGATGGTGGTGGTTGCTCTGCATGGCACGCGCGACCACGGGTGGGCACTTCATGAGCCACACGTGTCTCTCCGCCTTGCTCGTCTCCATGTGGCCGCTGCTGGCGTCCTTGTTAGGTTTATCCGCCATGGATCGATTGCTGATTTGTGCTGATATATTTGGAGCGACAATCCTCTAACGTGTGCTCAGCTCTACTGATATATATACCTCTGATCCGTTTTTGTTGTCGAGGGCAAATGTGACAATGGACAACATAATTCTCGATTAATTATTATATTATATTTATGTATGTATTGTAAAATGTATTAAATAATAATGTGAATTGCTATTTACCGCCCCTTTTACTAGTCACCGCCCCCAATTACGTTTTTGCCCTTCACACTATCTCTACTTTCTCTTTATACTCTTTCCCTCTCGACTTTTTACGGCTCTTTTGACCGTCAAAAGAATTTCGAAAAAATCCGAAAAAAATACCATGACATCGACAAGACATTGCAGATTGACTATATATTTTTTTATATTTTTTTACTTTGTAAATAATTTTTAATTTTTTTATTTTTATTTTTTTTTGGCGCGTCCGGACGGAATTTCCGGACGCACCATGGGGTGTCCGGACGGACATACCGGACGCACCATGGGGTGTCCGGCCGGACCGTCCGGCCGCACCATGGGGTGTCCGGCCGGACCGTCCGGACGCCACATTGTATGTCCGGACGGTCCGGTCGGACACCCCATGGTGCGTCCGGTCCGTCCGTCCGGACGCGCAAAAAAAAAAAATAAATAAATAAATTATTTACAAAGTAAAAAAATATAAAAAAAAATACATAGTCAATCTTCAATGTCTTGCCGATGTCATGGTATTTTTTTCAGATTTTTTTTGAAATTTTTTTGACGGTCAAAAGAGCCGTAAAAAGTCGAGAGGGAAAGAGTAGAGAGAGAGTAGGGAGATAGTGTGAAGGGCAAAAACGTAATTGTGGAGAGGGGGTAAATAGTAATGCCCAATAATAATTTGGACTACATCCCCTGTATATAATCTCGAATACGCTGAGCCTACGTGGTTGCTTCTGGTGTTTCAGAATCCTACTTGGCGAAGAACCATACTTATTAGGTTTGGACAAATAATATTGATATATTAATAATTAATAATCTAGGTTCAGACATTCCATAAATATTATTTAGCTAACGTAGGTATTTTAATATCGCTTGTATTAATATAACTCTTTACTTATTTGTAATTTTAAATAGTGAGATACTAAGTGACTAATATATCCCTAACTTTTGATTTGTTTCCTTCAATTAGCTATTGAATTGTAAATATATTTTAAAAGTTGAAAACTTTTGTATTTCTTATTAGTTTTACATATATAATGTATCAAATTAATCATCTTTTGATGATCTTCAATTTGACATACATATTGTATATATGAAATAAATAAATTATATTTATTTTTATAATAATAAAAATAATAATATTTATTAGAATTCATTAGAAAAATATAATTATTTCTCAATTGATATATTTTTGTTTAATGTAATTATATGTTGTAAGTTAAAAAATTATTATAATATAACACATGTAAGTCGTACAAATAAAAAGGTGTCATACTAAATATAATATATATATATATAATGTATTTAAATTTTCAATTACTTTTCTCTTTAATTTTAGACTAGTACAACGCCCGTGTATTACACGGGTGCTTGTTAAATTTTTTTCTTACAATTTAAAATTAATGAGAATTGTTGAAAATTAAATACTTTTTATAAAGAAATATATATTATTATATATTTTAGTATGACACTTGTTACTTGTGCGACATACATGTGTTATATTATAATAATTTTGATAACTTATTGAATATAACTACAATAAATATAAATATATTAATTGAGAAATAATTTTATTTTTCTAATTAATTTTAATGAATATTTTTATTATTATTATAGAGATAGATATTATATATATTTTATATATACAATATGGATGTCAAATCGAAGCTTATAAAAAAATGACTAATTTGATATATTATATATGTAAAATCGATAAGAAATACAAAAGTTATCAAATTTTAAAATAAATCTACATATCAATATAGTTATAGTAAGAAATGATATTAAAATATAATTAATACATCTAAAATGATCATAAATAAATCAACATATTTATGGTAATCCGAACTTAATTATTTTTGGATTAAAAGTAAATTAAAATTTATCCAAGACTAATAACAAAACATGTAATTTTGACACATAAGATTCCGAAGCATGCGAACCTGCCACTTAGGCTCAACACGTTCTGAATTAATATATAATTTAAGGATATATTAGCAAAAACCCGTATAATCACAGGCGTTGTACTAGTATCACGTTAAATTGGAATTAACATAAATTTGAAGGCTCGTTGGAGTGAAGTATTTTGTTTATGAAAGTCATATAACCTATTTTTTGAGGCATTGAGAGATTATTAAACATGGCAATGGACAACATTGTTTTTGATAATGTATTAAATAATAATTTCAGACTTACTGAAGTTCGATAATGCGTTGGGGCCGAAGAATTTTCGTTTATGGAAGTACTATAATCTTTAGTTTGGGGACATGAGAGATTATTAGACGTGGCAATGACACTCTCGGTGATGTATTTGTTGGTACCCAGTTTGATTGCAATCAATAAAAAAGCAACACGTGGCAAAATAAACGCAATCAATAAAAAAACAACACGTGGCAAAATAAACAGGGACTATAATACGTAATAATAAATATGAATATAGCAGGTTCTCTGAGCTGATTATTTAATATCGACTGAATCCTCAAACGTCACGATCGCCTGCACCCGAGTAGAGCAGAATTTAATATCAATAGCCCGACCCGAATATAATAAAGATGTCGTCTTATGAGGACGCACACTACCGACAAGACAGACGTCTATCGAAGTTGTAAAGTATTATAATTAGGCCCCACGCGATCACACCACATTAAAATATTATTTGTATTATTTTATTACTCATTATTCCATGTCCACATGTTAGGTCAAAGATATACTTGAAAAATCATATCCAAAAAGGGAGGACCAACCTTATCCAAAAGAAACATCCAAGAGAGATATAATATGGATTCTCCCCAAAAAGATATTAATGAAAGAAAAGTTTCATCTTCATTCTTTTTTATTCTTGTTTTCATCTAGTTTAATTCATATATTCTTCTCACAAAAGATATATATATATATATATATCCAAAAGTCATGAATAGAATAAGTATTCATCTCATATTTCTAGAACAATTTAGTGTACGGTTCACCTCCTGTTGCTGACATTTTTTAGCATCAACAGTATTAAAAATAATAATTTCATACTCATCTATCACATTAGATTGTGAATGGAAAATCGATGATACATTGAGGTTGAAGTATTTTGTTTATGGAAGTTCTATAATCTATAGTTTGGGGACATGAGAGATTATTAGATGTAACGGTGGACAACATAATTTTCAGTCATGTACAAAATAATAATTTCACTCACTCATCTTTTCACATTAGATTGTGATTGGAAATTCGATGATGCATTTGGTTTGAAGTATTTCAATATAAAAAATTATATATGTTTTTTTCAGAAAAATATTTAAAATTTAAAACATACTGTTTTAGTACTTTTTAATTTTATGTATACATCTTATTTAAGAAACACATGTGTAATATAAGAGTATTACTTCTTAAATTTAAGTATAAATTTTTTAACAAGCAATCGTCTAATAAACGAGAATTTTACTAGTCATATCATATTCTTATATTAATTAAACTATTTTGCATCACAGATTTTTCCTATCAATTTGCATTACGTAACCGGTAACACCAAACATCCACGACTATAGTCTATTGTTAGTAAGGAAAAAGGGTAAAATACAGCAAAAAACACGTTTAAACAGACGAAAAGAAACACCGGATTTTTGTAACCCTACAACAAAGCTTTGAAAATTCAGGAGAAAAAGAAAATTTTGAAGCAAAAATTGCACCCCTTACAAGTCTGCTTTCTGCATATAGTGGATTATCAGCTAAAAAAAAAAAAAAAAAA